GGAAGTATGCGTCTCGACTCCGTCACCATGCGACCCTTCTGCTGTATGTGTGATCCGAGTCTGATGCCATCACGGTGCATCAAGCGTCGTGGCTGGAAGGCTGTCGACTGGCGCCCCAACTCAGTCCACGCAGTCTGCCCACTAGTGCGTGCGTTCGTGTGGAATGGCAGACTACTGGACTGAGAGTCAGGTTGAAACGACTCCTTCTTAACGTGACCTAATGCCCTCTCATGCATGTGAGATGTATGCCGCACAATCCCTGCTGTGTGAAATCCTGGGGCTTGTGTTTGGGGGCAGGACGGACGTGCGGTTCGCGCAGACACGGTCACTAGATATGTTAGCCATCGCATCCATCCCGCACCTGTCAACTGACCGACTCGGACAATGTCTGGGGCCTGGAAATGGAAAGGGAGGGTGAAGTCGACGACTCAGTCATTTTCCTCACTAAAAACAATCTGACGCGCTTGAAGCTATCCTGATGCGTTAAAAGCCGTGTCTTGGAAGGTTGCCAACTGACGGAATAACTTGGACCACACAATCGGCCCAATGCTGTGTTTTTTATTTATTTATTTATTGTGTGGTGCGACCGACTGGTGGTGTAAGGGTCAGGCTTCAACGGCCCCTTCTTAATAGTACCTTTTATGGCACTCCCACTCCGTGCGATCCGAGCCGTATATGATGGTACGTCTAGGTGCGGCTTCGGCCGTGTAAGCCCCCATTCTTTGTTTTTGGTTAAAATCCTGGTCATTTGCCGTATGGACCAGGGGATGTGGAGTGGAGCGCCAAGTTGCAGGCTCGACCATGCCATCCACCTGTGCCCTCCCCCACCTTCGGTTTTCTCGACTATGTCTTGACCTCATGTCCAGGTGGGGAAGGAGCAGGGAGTGTGATAGATGCAGCGCAGGCCTACATTCACCATAAACTAAATCACGCGCAAGTCACCGTGTCTTCTTCACCTTGCTGTGGAGCACACGGTGGATATCGTCGGCAAGGACGGTCGAACTATCGTGTACCCGCACCCGGTAGCTCTGCTCCTCTTCCTATACGCCCTCCGTCCCACACTTCAGAGATTCCTACAAAGAGGGCGATATGCGATTCCGTAGGTGGCTCAAGCTAAGTCGGGTCGCTATTAACTAAACAAAGCCATGACCCATACAAGAATTTTGCAGTCATATTTATGGCTAGCACCGTGCACTGGATGCTCCTTTATTCTGCTGAAAGTCCAAAAACTCGAGAAAGAGCTGACTGCTTTAAGGGAACTCGTGCAAGCAAACGATGGTGTGCAAAACGCGATGAATAGCGCTAAAGTTAGCAAGAAAAAGGGAAAGAGCAAAACTCTAAAACAGCCCAAGAACAAAGCTTGTGGAAAACCTCTGTGCAAGGGCGCCGATACCCAGGACGATGGGAAAATAGCAACGGAGTCTCTTGTTTCTATGGAAGACAACCCAAGCGAACCATCAACTTCTCTCAGCCATTCCGCGTGTTCAATAGGACCCTCAATTGGAAGTGAGGAAACAAGCTCATAGCAAGATGGAAAGGGTAAGCGCCACAACGGGAGTATAGAACCCCAGACGACTCCGGTGGATCTTCTGAGACCTTCAGCTGACAAGGCCGCCGGAAACAGAACAAATGAACCCCTTGATTGTCAGCACTGCGTAGTCGTCCAGGGCCTATCGGAGTCGAATGCTCTTACCCCGAAGGAGAGGATCTCCGCTGACCTTAATACGCTTCAACATCTACTGAACAAAATGCATAATTCGAGTGAAAAGATAACCATTCGCGCAGCCTTCAGGATCGACAAGAAGGTGAGCGAACAATCGGAAACTGTGCGGCCACGACCTCTGAAAATTGATTTGAACAGTAAAGAGGAGGCTAGCTTACTTCTGTCCAGGAAAAGCAGCCTCCGAAACTCTTACAAGGAAGTTTTTTAGCCGAACTACTCTCCAGCGGAACGTCTGAAACGCCGCGAATTGGTAACGGAGTTGAAGATGAGACTTGCAGCGGAAGAAAGCAGCTTGGCTATTTTCAGGGGACGAGTGATACAGAGGAACGCGATGTTGTTTTGGAACCAGCCAGTCATCATGATGGCGGCAGCAACATAATATTGGCAAGCCCGAGACAAACCGAACGAAGTACTGTCAAATGTTGCAAACATAAATTCTTTTACACCAATGCTCAGAGTCAGTTTTCCAAGCTTGACGAACTGAGAATACAGGTAGCCGATACTCCTCTGGATGCTATAGCAATAACAGAAACGTGGCTGTCAGAGGACGTTGGTGATTGCGAGGTAGCATTAACAGGATACCATTTGTTTAGGAGAGACAGGAGAGGCCGCCGGGGTGGAGGAGTTTCCATGTATGTCAAGAGCAACTTAGCAGTGTGTGAGAGGACCGACAAGATTTCTAACGACTGGATATCGTCTGAATGGTTGTTTGAGGCAGTGGAGCAACCAAGTCTGAAGCCAACCGTATTACCGTTTTCAAGGCTAATTTGAGATTGGCAAAGTTGTAAAATTTTAACGTAGGCACACCACTAGCCAGTAATGGGCCACATTGCAAATACACATGGACCTTTAATGTGATGGACTACGGGGTTCATGATTTTTTCACATGCCCTTTCAATTATGGTTTCTGATCTTAAACATTCGATGATTTTGCCTATTTTAAGTCTCTTGTCCAGTTCACAGTGTTGAAATCCGTAGACAATAGAAATCAAACATGAGTCCGCATACTCTTCATTCTCATAAATTAACCTTGATACCCTTAAGGAAATGGTAAATCTCTCTCATACAGTTTTTTGCACTAAATCTTTGGGCCCAGGAAATCTACGTAAGATTGACTCGTTCGGATATTCATCACATAGCTTGTTAAATGTGTCATTCTACGCCTTTTAAAACGTTTCACAGCTCCCTATATCAACAGTGCGACTTGAACGCATGAGGTGTTAGACCTTGAGAATCGTGTAAAAATCATGCCGCTCTCTGGATTCGGTCCCGGGAACCGGGTAGGGGCGAAATAGGAGACGCCACTACACCAGTGATTCCGAAGCATCGGTCGAATAAAATAGAGATCTAAGCGTCTGCGACGACTAAAAATGTCGTTATAAATGGCACAAATTTAGGTTCAGCCAAGCACTCAAAGGCATTATAACTTAAGTAGGTGTCAATTGCATAGCGTTTAAGGCCGTTTTGATCATTTTTAGAAATGAAGTACAAGACAGGAATCATAAAGCATAGGGTGCAGCATTCGGCAGAGCATATTTAGTGTGCATGCGAGGAGAAACATGAACGGCGCCGTAAATTCAGGTAACAGAAGTAACCTGGACAAGTAGAGCTATGTTCATCATAGCTGACATTGGGGTAAAGCAAATCGTACCTTTAGAATTCAGTACAACTACAGTCATTTCTCATATACAGAAGAACAATACAACCGGCTATGATGATTTCATCGGATAATGTGTTCCAGATGTAGATACTGCACCTTTGCTGAATGATTTATTGGGTGAACTGACTGCAGCACAATCTTCAGTTCCGCATGAGGACAAGAGAAATGATCGCCTAAGATAGGAAAAAGAACGCAGGAACATTACAGAGAACAATCGGCTTGATTCCATTCGACTGCAAAATATACCATAACGTCCTTAGCAAAAAATTCAGTATGTCAGAAGGCTGATATATGGAGAAGGGTTGTCAGCTAGATGCAGACAGATCACAAATTGCATGCATTGTTGTCCCAAATTCCGTTTCCGGTGTCACCTAGTGTTATTTGCTAGCCCATTTAAACTCCCTAGTCTATTGGAGGGCTGTGTCAATAATTTAGGTCGCATCACCGTCGTATTTACTGACTATCTTAAACTCCGACGGTCTTCATGTCTGGTGCGGATAGGTACACACTCTAAGGCATCCAAAGCTGACATGACAGTTCGACCATCGGTTTCGATGATGTCCACCGTGTGCCCCACAGTTGCAGCAGCAATGGGAGCAGGGACGGTGACTTACGCAGGGGTTTATAGTGCCAGTAGACTTGCGTAACATCTACCTACACTCTCTCCTCCTCCCTCGCCCGAGCACGGTGTCAAGACAGTGTCAAGAAGACCGGAGACGAGAGAGGCCGCAGGTGGATGGCTCGGACGGATCCTCACCTTGGCGTTCCACCACACCCCCTGGCCCACACAACAAATAACCAGGATTTCAACCAACACAAGAGAGATTTGGAGGCAGGCACGGCCGAAGCCGCACCTGGGCGTGCCGCCAACGCCTGGCTCGGATCCCACACTGTGATGGGAGTGCCATAAAGGCCACATTAAGAAGGAGCCACTGCAGCCTGACTCTCAGACCGCCTCCGGTCAAGGAGGAGGTCCAAGTTACCCCGTCAGTTGGCAACCTTCCAAGCCACGGCTTTTAACGCACCGTGATAGCTCCAAGCGCGTCAGATTGTTTATAGTGAGGAGAAAGTGCGCTGAGTCGTCGACCTCACTCTCCCTTCCCACTCCCACACCCCAGCCGCTGTCCGAGCCGGTCAGCAGACTGGAGTGGGGAATGGGCGCGGTGGCTGTCATGGTCGACTGACCATGACTGCGCGCGCCACGGCACGACCTGGCCCCCCATACACACAAAACCAGGATTTCACACAACGGGGGTTGAACGGCGTGTCTCCCACTTGCGTGAGAGTGCCGTGGAAGGTGCGGTTTCAGCCCGTTCCCAGCCCACCAGTCCGCCACTCCACACAACACACACACAACGAGACGAACTGCGTGAACCGAGAGCGGGCGTCAATCAGCAACCTTCCTATCCACGACGCTTGACTTGTCGGGATAGTCTCGGACTCAAGTCACCCGTGCAGCCAAAGCCGCATGGGGACCGAGTCGAGATGCGGACTTCCCACTTGCGTGGGAGGTGGCAGTTGGGTGCATGAGGTGTGTGAGTGTTGATTTCTGGTGGGGCGATGGTGGTGGTGGAGGAGGTAGGGAGTGAGTGAATGTGTGGTGTGGCCGGCGGTTGTCTACCGCAGGTCGTCGTGGATGCGCATGTGGCCGAATAGGCTCATGCGATGCCTGAAAGTGCGAGGAGAGTGTGGGCAGTTGAGACGAGCTTGGTGGGTATAGGTGGGTGCTCCAGGGAGTGGTTCGCCAGTCTCTGTGCGATGGGTTCGCAAGTGACCGACCAGGCCGGTATGTGAGGTGAATGTGCGTGGACAGTGTGGGCATGAGAAGTCGGCGGTGTCAGTGTCAGCTACAGAGGAGGCGGTGGTGGTGGTGTCGCGGACGGATAGAACGAGAGTGGGGGTGTGCACGGTGGATGTATTGGATGTAGTGGGTGTGTCGGGAGTGCGGTCAAGGCCGCTCTCGTGGATCCCTATGTGGCCGAAAAGGCCCATGCGATGCCTGAAGGTGCGAGGGCAGTGCGGGCACTGGAGGCGAGTGCGGTGGGTGTAGGTTGGGGCTTCACGCACTGGTTCGCCAGGCTCTGTGCGATGGATTCGCAAGTGACCGACCAGGCCGATGTGTGAGATGAGGGTACGGTCGCAGTGAGGGCAGGTGTAGTCCTGATCCTCATCCCTGGAGTCGGGGGAGGTGGTGGTAGTGTCGGTTGCTGTGCGTGGGACAGTCGCCTGAGCGGCCGCCGTTGGAGCAGTGGGCGAGGAGGAGAAGGAGGAGGAGGATGATGGAAGTGGTGGGTCAGAAGAATTGTCAGGGTTAGTTGGCGGCGGAGAGGAGGAGGAAGAGGCAGGCGGGGGGACGATGGTTGGTGCCGTTCGAGAGGCGCAGTTAATCCGAAGATGTCCAACAAGTCCGATTCGAGCCCGGAATGTCCGTTGACATCGGGGGCACGTTGGAAGCGGTTGTGCGGCGGCGTTGCTTACTGGGCGAAGTTGTGATTTGCGGGCTTCACGTTTCGCTTTGGCGGCAGCGATGCGGTTGGCTTCGTAGATCGCAGCGCCTGTCTTCACTGTTCTCCTCCAGGTCGGTCGATCGAGTGCGAGCTCCTCCCAGTTGGTGGGGTTGATTTGCAGGCATTTCAGGGAGGACTTCAGGGTATCCTTGTAACGGCGAATCTGGCCTCCTTGACGGCGAGAACCCGTCGCGACGTCTCCGTAGAAGAATCGTTTGGGTAGTCGCTCGTCGTCCATGCGCACCAAGTGGTCGCTCCAGCGCAGCTGAATTTGCCTCAGTATGGCGTAGATGCTGAGGATTCCCGTCCGTTCCAGCACATCAGTGTCGGGGATTCGATCCTGCCAGTTCAGCCTCAGGATGCGACGAAGACAACTGAGGTGGAAGTGGTTCAGACGACGTGCCTGATTTGTGTACACCGTCCAAGTCTCCGCTCCATACAGTAGCGTCGGCAGGATGACGGCCTTGTACATCTTCAGCTTCGTGTTCATTTGGGGACCATGACGATTCCAAACTGTGCTTTGGAGGCGACCGAAGGCTTGACTGGCTTTCGAGATCCTGTTGGCGACTTCGTCGTCGATCTTGGTGTTGCGGGAGAGAGTACTGCCCAAGTACGGGAAGTTCTCCACTACTTGCAGTTGGGTCCCATTCACGCTGATTTGCGGCGGCACGTTGGGGGCTGTGGCCGAATCGGGGGGCGGTTGGTGCATCACCACCGTCTTCTGTGTGTTGATGACCAGACCGAAGTTCTCGCAGGCGGCGGAGAACAGGTCCATGCTCCGTTGCATCTCCTCTTCCGAGGTGGTGTTCAGGGCACAGTCGTCGGCGAAGAGGAGTTCGTGAACGGTGGTTGTGGATACGCGCGATTTGAAGTGCATCCGCCGTTGATTCAGGAGGTGACCGTCCGTCCTGTAGGCGATGCGGATCCGGGGGCGTTCGTCGCGGTAGGCGTCCATCAGCATGGCAGAGAACATAAGACTGAAGAGGGTAGGCGCCAGTACGCAGCCTTGCTTCACGCCATTGGTCACTGCGAATGCCTCGGAGACAGCTCCGTTGTCCGTGACTCGCGCCATCATACCGTCATGCAGCTGACGCACCATCTGAGTGAATCGCTCCGGACAGCCGAATTTCCGCATGATCTTCCACAGTCCTTCACGATTCACCGTGTCGAAGGCTTTCGTCAGGTCCACGAAGGTAGAGTACAGGTGGGTCCGCATCTCCTGACACTTCTCCTGAAGTTGACGGTCGGCGAAGATCATATCCGTGGTCCCTCGATGACGACGGAAGCCGCATTGGCTTTCCGGCAGAAGGCCCTGTTCCAGATGGTTATTGAGGCGGTTGAGGAGGATTCGTGCGAAGATCTTTCCGGCTATGTTCAGCAGGGAGTTTCCGCGGTGATTGTCGCAGACTTGGCAATTCCCTTTGCGCTTGTAGAGATGCACGATGGTTGCGTCCTTGAAATCTTGCGGGACTTCACCTTGACGCCACATCTCTTGGAAGAGCGCAGTCAGGTGATCCATTAGTTGGGGACCTCCGTGCTTGTAGACCTCAGCAGGGATCGCGTCCGATCCGGGTGCTTTCCCGCTGGAGAGCTGCTGCACGGCCCTGATGGTCTCCTGGAGAGATGGCGGGAGGTCGAGGTCCACGTTGGTCTCCACTTGCGGCAAACGCTCGATGGCGGCGTCGGAGATGACGGAGAGGCGGATGAGGACGCCTCGGAAATGCTCGGCCCATCGCTGCAGGATTTGCGTCTTCTCGGTCAGGAGAGTGTTGCCGTCGGCGCTGAAGAGAGGAGCAGTGCCCTTCGTCGGCGGACCGTAGACAGCTTTGATCGCAGAGAAGAAGTTCTTCCATTCGTTGCGGTCCGTGTAGCCTTGGATCTCCTCAGCTTTGCGAGCAGTCCAGGCGTCCTGCATCTCGCGCAGTCGTTGCTGAAGTTGGCGGCGACTGCGGTAGAAGGCAGCTTTGGTGGCATCAGTGGGGTGATCTACGTAGGCTTTGTGTAGGCGGTTCTTCTCAGCTAGCAGATTTCTGATGGCGGCGTCGTTGTCGTCGAACCAGTCCTGGTGTTGGCGGGGAGCGCGACCGAGGACGGCGAGCGCCGTCGACTGGACCATGTCTCGCAGTTGACACCAGCGGTTCTCCACGGAGGCGTTCTCGGCAGCGGCGGCGGCGGCGGAGTCGTCGGCGGCGGCAGCGATAGGAAGGTTGTCTAGCCGTTGAGCTAGCTCATTGCTGAAATGAAGATGATGAGCGGGCAAAGACAACAAAGCAACATTCAGCTTACCTGGGGGTAGCTTACCTTGTGGTCTCCTGCGAGGCTGTAGGCGAATACGCATCTTCGAGATGACGAGGCGATGGTCGGTCCACCCGTCAGCACCCGCGATCGCCTTCGTCACCAGCACGTCCCGCTGATCTCGCCTCCGGACGAGGACATAGTCCAGCAGGTGCCACTGGCGCGACCGAGGATGCCTCCAGGTGGCCTTCTCTCGCTCCGACAGACAGAAGTACGTGTTCGTCAGGATGAGGCGGTGTTCTGCGCAGGTGCGGAGGAGCAGCAGGCCGTTGTCGTTGGAGCCGCGGAGACCGTGAGGACCCAGCACTCCCCTCCAGGCAGTATGGTCTGTGCCGACGCGGGCGTTGAAGTCGCCAAGGACAATCAACTTGTCCGCCTTCGACACAGTCGCCAAGAGGGCGTGCAGGTCTTCGTAGAATTTGTCTCTTGCGGCGGCGTCGGGGCTGCTCATCGGGGGAGCGTAGGCGCTGATGATGGTGGCGAATTGGCCCCCCCGCCGGAGAGGCAGGCGGAGGCTCATCAGGCTATCGTTGATGCACTGTGGCAAACAGGGCAGTCGTCCCACGATGTCGTTCCGAATGGCGAAGGCGACACCCGCGTCCCGTCGCTCTGCCCTGGGTCGACCGCTCCAGAAGAAGGTGTAGCCGGCACCCACCTCCTCCAGTTGGCCTTCTTCGGAGAATCGGGTCTCGGTGAGTGCGGTGATGTCCACCTTGTAGCGCGCCAGTTCTCGTGCCACTAGCGCCGTCCTCCGTTCCGGTCGGTTGCTCCTCGGATTGTCTAAAAGAGAACGAACATTCCAGGCTGCCAGAGTGAGCGGGCTCACCCTGCCAGTCTGGTGACAGCGAGTGGGGCGACGGGAAGGAGATGGAGAAGAAGGTGACGAAGGAGAAGAATAGGCAGAAGAATAGGCAGAGGAAAAGGTAGGATGAGGAGAATGAGTATGGTTGTTGTTGTTGTTATTGGTATTGTTGTTGTTTCGATTTTGATTGTTTCGACCATGATAAGACGTCTGCGGCCCTGGCTAGCCTGGAGACGGCGTGGAACCCAGCAATGTTTAGGCCACCTTTTCTAGACCCTTCCCCTCGTGGAGGCTGGCAGTGCCATCCCTGAATAGGGCTGCCATGTGCCGTTGTGGCACGGCCGAACTCCACTATGGGACCACGACTTCGGGTTGTAGTGGAGAGCGACTCGAATTCGCCGTAAGCCGCGGTCTCCGACTGCGTAGGTGGGCGCGTCAAGGCGATGTCGATGTGGAGATCCATCCCGTCACCGGCGTGTCAAGCGACGTGCAGAGACGAACCACGTCACGACGGTGCCGACGCAAGGTTCCATCCGACCTTCCATCCAGCGGAATCCGCAAACCCTGTGCACACGGCACAGCGCACAGGGCCCCCTCACCTGGTTTAGCCCGCCGGTCGAGACGGTTGCCCGGGGTGTGGCCGCTGAGCAGAGCCCAGCTACGTGGAGCCACAGGTGAGAGTTGAGTGCCAGCAAGTGGACGCTAGGCGCAGTCTCACCTGCAAGCAAGTGAGCGACCACCACGACCATTACGTGAACCCACCGCTGACACCCCTACACCAGAGTAAAAAGTGGAGGTTTCTTTTTTTTCTAGTGCGTTCCCGATTAAAAAAAACGCCTTTCGAATGTTGATGGACAGAGGGAACCCGCTGCTCTAGTGTATTCTTTAGTCTAATGGGTTTTACGCTGCGTAAAACAGCTAAGCGTCCTACACAGGTTCCCTTCCGCGCTTAGACGAACATTTGCGCAAACTACTTAAGAACTGTTTGACTACACTTGCGCGGTGTTCGTTTGGCTTCACCTGTAATAAGTTTTAGATCGTGCCGTCTGTGACCTACGAGGGTCTGCCGATTGCGGAGGGATGTTTAACTTAGACATAAGGGCATGGTGAGGCATAATGGCACGCTGCACTGAAGCCGAGCTCAATTTTTTCGGAACTTCCGACGCAACGCCTTCTCGCAAGCGGTCGCCAAAGCACTCGACGCACAACGTGCTTGGTCGGTCTCTGGGGCCACTGGTGGGATATTTAAATGTGAACTCGATACCCGCTTGCCCAGAAATTACAGTAATAATACGCGCGGCTGTATCAGTAGTGGCAGCTTACATCTGGCTTACACGCAAGGATGATGGCATCTATACCAATATCTCGCTTCAAAATTGCTTTTCATTTTTCTGGACATAAACAGATAGTCCGAGGGCATAAATCTGTTTTTTTTATGTGAAGTGACTAAGGTGCATAAGTTTACTTGGCACGATCGTTCTCGGAAGCACAAATTGAACCTCATAACGGTCATCGAAATCTAAATAAGTTCCACGGATTCGACAGCCTAGAGATCCTCAGTCGAAGATACGGCCATCTGCAGAAGTTCTTTTAGGTGTTGAACCTTTGAACTCCCTATTTGTTACAAGGATGCGAACTATATCAAAAATTTGAAATGGAAACATCAAACAGCTACAGAGTGTCTTCAGATTGGCAAAGTTTTCGAGCCAGACAGATAAACGAATTGTTCCAACGTTAAAACATTAACGTTACTAAGTGCGCTGTACACTAGTCTGTCTATGGATAGTTGGTGCTATCTCAGTTTCTGAGGGAGACGAAGATGCCAACACGCATTCAACAGACATAGGACAATAATAAAAACAAACATTACTGAAATACAGGCAGTAATATAACAACATCAACAAATTGTTCTAACGAAATGCAAGACGTTGTCAATCAGGTGGCATTATGACGTTTGGTGGTACACTGGTACCAATTGCGTTTAAAAGCCTCGACGGAGGTGGACATGACGACGTCCGTAGGCAGAGCATTCCAGGTCTCGATCACTCTGTTTGAGAAGAAGAACTTCCGAATGTCCAGCTTGGCGCCAGTTACGCGTAGCTTAAGAGGACGACCTCGGAGGTTCGTTGTGGTCGCTAACTCATAGAAAGCAGCAGGTACGAGACAGCAGTCGTGGCCGCGCAGTATACGGAATGTTTGATTAAGGTCGCCTCTTAGCTGTCTGTAACTCAGTGGAAAAAGTCCGAGATTGGACATTCGCGATTCATAGGGTAGTGAACCCTGTCCACTTACGAGTTTGGTTGCCCGCCTTTGGACTTTCTCAAGGATGCTGAGATCTTTAGAGGTCCAGGGTTTCCACGCCTGAATAGCGAACTCTAGCTGTGGCCGTACGAAGCAGTCCTCATCGAAGATAGAGAAAGCTCTCTGGACAAGATAAAGGACTGACATCGCAGACTTGGCTACCTTGGAGCAGTGGAGCGACGGTTTTCGAGAAGCCGTTATCCAAACACCCAAGTCTTTCTGGGCGTCTACCTCCTGCAGTGGTATGCCATTTAGGTAGTTAACCATCCGGCTTAGAGATCGGGTCCTGCCGACTCGCAAAATATTGCATTTAGTCACATTAAACGGCAAAAGCCAATCCTATGACCATTTCTCGAGTCGGGTCAGGTCTGCCTGCAAGCGCTCTTCGTCCAATTCAGTTCGGATAATGCTCCAAAGTTTAGCATCATCAACGAACATGGCAACATCACAATTCAGTTCACTGACGCAGTCGTTGACGTATATAATGAATAAGGTAAGGCCAAGAACGGAGCCTTGCGGAACATCGCTTTCAACCGCTACCTCCGCCGACTGCCTGTCACCGACGTGGACGATTTGAGAGCGACCGATCAAGCAACTTTGTATCCACCTCAGGAGATTACCCCTTATGCCTGTCCGGCTTAATTTGTACAGGAGACGCTGATGTGGTACACTGTCGAATGCCTTCTTAAAGTCGACGTAGACTGCATGCACTGCATTGCCGCCATCGGCTGCACGGGTCCAGCGATCTAAACAATAAAGTAGATTTGTCACGCATGATCTGCCTTTACGAAATTCGTGCTGGGCATCGCATAGCAGATTATGCTCTTCTAGGAAGTGCATTATTTCTCGCTAAATTATTTTTTCCATAATTTTGCAGCAAATTGAAGTAAGGCTGAATGGTCTGTAGTTGTTTGCTAAGACCTTGCTGCCGCCTTTATAAATTGGCGTGATCCGCATGGATTTCCAATCGGCGGGCAAGTAGCCTGCTTCGAACGAAGCTTGAAAGAGCATGGACAGCGGTTTAGATAGTTCTCCAGCAAGCTCCTTCCATAATTTCGGCGGTCTGTCATCCGGCCCAGGTGCTTTGGACTCATTCAACGTCAACAGTACTTTGCGAACAATAACTTCGGCGAAAGAGACGTGCTCAATCGTTGGCCTGTCCATTATGTCGCAGTCGGGAGGGAGAAATGTGCTTTCCTTCGTAAAGATGGACTTACAAAATGGTGAAAGGTGCTCTGCCTTTTCTCCGTCTTCCCTGAGTTCGATGTCGTCACTAGTTTTCAGTAACGGGATTGGATCTCTGTTTCGTGCGCTTCTTCTTATGTAACCATAGAATAACTTTGGATTTTCTGCGGCTCGATTCAGTAGGTCTTTCTCGAAAGTACGCCGCGTCCCGAGGATTAACCTCCTAACTAGCTTCCTGTGTGCTTTGTACGCATTTATCGACACAGAGCTCCTATCCGAGAGGGATTTTCTCCACAACCTCCGCTTTTTATTCACTTCTTTTTTTAATGCTTGTGTTAGCCACGGGGCTCTGTTGTTCACTTTCTTCCGTGAAATAGGACAGTGGTCTCTGAGAAGAACGTGCAGTAACCCACTAAACCAATCCCAATCCTTGATTATATCACCGGAAAAAGCTGATTCCCAGTTTATGGTATTTAGTTCAGCTTTCATTTGGGCAAAGTTACCGCGCCAAATGCTCCTTCTAACCCTGGTGG